CTCACTGCGCCAACCTCTACTTCTTCTGCCAAATGCTTATCCTTGGCACATTGTACAGTCAGTTGATTTGCAACTAAGGGTTTACTTCTCTGGTGCCTATCAAGCTGCTCAACCGAGTCAGCTACCCAAGCAGAAACCGTCTGGCTCTATGTTAAACCAACATCTATCTCTCCAACCCTACCTTACACTACTCTCAGTGCTTTGTTGACAAGAAAACCTTCGCCATATAACAATATACAGTCCCCTCTCGTTTTGCTAAGCGTGCTCTACAATTTTCTAATTTGAGGGCACTTCATACTGCTTTTATGCTATCTAATATTTTATTAATAAAATAAAAATTTTCTACTGAAATTGCATGATAAGGCAAATTAATTTTGAATCAGCAAGCTTCCTTATTGCAGCAATTCATGCTGTGTTATCATCTGTTCACAAAACAGATACCATGAAACAACAAATTTTTTATAATTAAAAGTAGTGAATGTTAAATGAACACTATGAGTATAATTCAAGAGTAAGACTTCTTGTGAGTAAATGGAATCTTGCTTTGATAATATAAAACATTGAGAGTCCTGTAATTCTGGACTGAAACACTTTAAAGTATAACAAGCTAGGGAACGATGATTAGCCTTCCAACCTAAGGCTGTAGGGAAAATTGCTGCCTCTCTTAAACATGGCATAAAAAATAAAACAGCAACAACAAAAAAGAATGGCATGCATTTCAGATAAATGAACAAGCCCTTCAGAAGACTAAAATACTATGATGGAAGAAAGTAGAGCTGATCTTAGGGAAAACAACATAGACCTTTTCACAAAATCTGAGCTAAAATCAAACTATGAAAATGGCACGTTTTTAAAAAGTCCTTTACTACAGCTCTTCTACTTCCAAGTAGGATGGAGAAGCTTGTGGCACACCTTTGCTCCTGCTGAGAACTACAAATGCCAAATAAAATTAAAAAACCTTGTTTAAAGGCACTGAAGAACTAAAACAACTTGTGATGCCATAAAGGAAGAAAGTGTTCCAAATAAGGATGGGGCATGCCAAAACAACACAGGCGTCAATCTGATGGAACTTGTAACTGCCAAAGCTGGAATGATTTGAACAACAAAATAAATAATAGTATTGGACCTCAACCCACAGAACAAAATAAATGTCCTAGAGTTCATACTGATATAAACATATAACTGAATAAATACATAAATGGAGGAAAAGGAACAACTCTTTCTTACAGAAGAATTTTAATTAATAAATATAGAAGAAACAAGACAAATAGAAAAATCACCATTAGGCAAACACCAGAGTAATATCTATCACAAAAACGAACCAAAGATGCATGCTAAAATTAGTGAGCCAAAGTTTGAGGAGAAAAAGAATATTTGTGTCAAATTATATCACTACAAGTTATTTATTAATTTTACAAAAAGAAGTTTCTGTGCTGGAGGACATTACGCTGAGTGAAATAAGTCAATCACAAAAGGACAAATACTGTATGAGACCTCTATTGCACAAACCCATGAAAAAGTTCACACACAAAATGTAACAATCTTTGTTGGTTACCAGAGATGGGAGGCGTCGGGGGCGGAAATACTAAATAGACAATAGATAAGTGGTATCTTGGGTGAAGGGTGAGACAGTACACAGTACAGGAGAAACTAGCACAACTTGTCCAAGGAAAGGTCATGGAAGCCGCATAGACACATCCAAACTCCCTGAGGGAATGAATTGCTGGGAGGAGGGTTGTGGGGACCATGGTCTCAGGGAACATCTAGCTCAATTGGCATGACACAGCTTATAAAGACAATGCTCTACGTTCTACCTTGGTGAGTAGCGTCTGGGGTCTTAAAAGCCTGTGAGCGGCCATCTAAGATACTCCACTGGTCTCATCCCTTCGGGAGCAAGGGAGAATGAAGAGAACAGGATACAAGGAAAAGATTAGTCCGAAGGACTAATTGTCCACAGCTACCAAGGCCTCCACCAGACTGAGTCCAGTACAGCTAGATGGTGCCCAGCTACCACCACTGACTGCTCTGACCAGGATCACAACAGAGGGTTCTGGACAGAGCTGGAGAAGGACGTAGAGCATAATTCTAAGTCACAAAAAAAAGACCAGATTTACTGGCCTAAAGGACACTGGAGAAACCCTGAGAGTATGGCTCCCAGATACCCTTTTAGCTCAGTAGTGAAGTTACCTCCGAGGTTCACTGTTCAGCCTGGGAGTGGACAGCCCCGTAAAACCAAATGAGACTAACGAGGTACAGGAGTCCAGTGTCAAGGGCCAGAAAGCAGAAGGGGATAAGGAAGCTGGTGATAGGGAACCCAAGATTGAGTAAGGATATTGTTGATGTGTTGTGAGATTGTTAACCATTGTCATAGGGCAACATGTGTAGTAACTGTTAAATGAGCAACTATTTTGTTCTGTAAGCCTTCATCTTAAGCGAGAACCACAGCACAATCTGAAGAGCATAGTCAATGTCACTGAACTGTGTATGCAGAAATTTTTGAAATGGTGTTATCTTTGGCTATGTGTATTTTCACCAAAAAATAAAGAGGTTGAGAAGTTAGAGGGTTGATATGTTGTGGGGTTGTTAACCAATGTCATAAAACAACATGTGTACTTCTGTTTCATGAGAAACTATTTGCTCTGTAAGCCTTCACCTGAAGTACAATAAATTAAAAAAAAACAAAACGTTTCTGTGAAGAAACCTAGCAAACACTACCTTAATAAAGTGATCACGGTTAACGTCACCAATAATACGACACATCAGTATTATGAACACCTTGAAAAGATGTACTAAGAGGAAAACAACATCATTTCTGTTGTATTTCTGCCAAAAATTCATCACCTTATTTTAATCATGAGGAAATATCAGACAAATGTAGACTTAGGGACATTCCATAAAATAACTGACCAGTAGACTTTAAAAATATCAAGATCATTAAAAACAAGGAAACACTGAGTGGAACTACCACAGATGGTATAACACTAAGAAGAAATACAATTAAATACAAGTAGAATCCTGGAACAGGAAGAAGGAAATTAATGGAAAAACTAGGTAGTAAAATCCAAACAAGAGCTGTTGTTTAATTAATTGTACTACGTTAATTAATTTCTGAGTTTTGATAACTGAACTATGGTTATGTAAGTTGCTAATATTAGGGGAAGCTGGGTGAAGTATATATGGGAATTCTCTATACTATTTCTGCAATTTTTTATTAACTCTAAAATTAGTTCAAAATAAAAAGTTAAAAAGTAAACAAAGGCATCCAGGAGCTAGTGAAAAAAACAATTAAAGGGGGTCAAGATTCAGAAAAGGGTAGAACCAAAGAGAGGTAAGCTGACAGTGACGTTCTCCCTGGGAGCACTTGCAAGATTCAGGATTCTGCCTTAACACAGGGCTGCTGCTGAGGGACAGAGGGACCAACAGAGCTTCTGACAGCCTCAGAGGGTTGGAGAGACAAACGTGGGACTAGTTAGTTATACTACATATATATGACAAAAGATGCATATCCAGAATACATAAAGAACTATAAATCAATAGAAAAGACAACTTAAAAAAAAAAAAAGGCAAAGATTTGAGCAACCATTTATTAAAAAAAAAAAAAGGAATAATCAAATGGCCAACCATATATAAAATGGTGCTCAGCTTCAAAGAAATGCAAATTAAAACCACAATGCAATACCACATACGTCCCAGAATGGCTAAAATGAAAAAGCCGTTAATTTAAAGTGTTAGAATGGAAGCTACTGGAACTCTAATATATGGGTGTGGGGAGAGTAAATCGGAATACTCACTTGGAAAATGATTTGGCAGTATCTACTAAAGCTAAATATATGCCCACCTTATGAACCAGTGATGATTCTACTCCTAGATATATATCCAACAGAAATGTGTGAGTAAGCATGCATGCGTGTGTATGTAGTCGTTACAAGATATGTATGAGAGTATTCATGGATACATTATTGTAAACCTAAATGCCCATTAAGAGTAAACTAAAACCCATTGCTGTTGAGTTGATTCTGACTCATAGCGACCCTACAGGACAGAGAACTGTCCCCATATGGTCACTAAGGCTATAATCTTTACAGAAGCAGACTGCCACATCTTTCTCCTGTGGAGCAGCTGGCAGGTTCAAAATGCTGACCTTTTGGTTAGCAGTCAAGTGCTTAACACTATGCCAGCAGGGCTCCTTCCAGTAAGAATAGAAAGGATAAATAAATTGTGGTATACTCATACAGTGGAAAACTATACAGCAATGAGAATGAGCTACAACTGAATACAATAATATGGATGAATCTCACCAACATAATATGAAAAGAAATAAACCAAATATAAAAGAGGTTACAATATATAATTCTAAAGTTAAAAACAGGTAAATTTTGGAATTAGAAATAAGAATAATAGTTGCCATAGGGAGGTGGATGAGAGGGTGGTAATAACTGGGAGAGAACACAAAAAAAAGGGCTTCTGGGGTGTCAGTAATTCTTGATCTGTGCTAGTTACATGGATGTGTTCTCTTCATGAAAACCCATATAGCTATATAGCCGTATACTTACAAGGTGTGCACTGAATGTATGGTACATGCCAATCACTAACTTTGAAACTCTGCTATTAAAAAGAGAAAATTTAAAATTTCTTTACAATATAAATGTCAAGAAGGCTCCTATCAACTAGATTACTGACACTGTAAGTGGTATTTCAGTCATCATTGCAGTATCTCATTTCTATGAAGGATTCTGAGAAGAGACCTCAGCATTACAAATGTAGTATACTACAGACTGCAATAACTTAAAACGATTAACTGTGCTTTTAAACAACTGAATACGAAAATAACTAAGCAATCAAATTACTTTCTTCCCTTATTGTAAACAACATATTTGTTAGAAAAGAGACAGATAAATTACATGAATTTCAGTACCTGAGGCAGAGCTACGACTACCGGTAGACGAAGACCCACTCTCTTCACTGGACGATTCTGAACTGTTATCCCTGCTGTCAGAATCAGAGTCAGAGGAGTCAGACTCTGAAGAGGAGGACGCAGAAGAGGAAGAGGAGGGCGAGGATTTATTTCGCTCAACATCTGGTTTCTGTGCCATGATGACCTTTGGTGTATTCTTGAGATGCTCGCGCAACTCATCCCTAATTAAAAATATAATCTGTTAGATCCTATTTTAAAGGCAATTGTGAGATAATTTTGTAAACTGAAAATAAGATTCTGAAAATAATCCTTACGTTAAACCTCCAAGACCTATAGAAGTAAAAAAGTTGATGGCAAACCGAGTGTTTCTTGGATTATCTCGGGGTAATAATCCTTCAAAGAATGGCTGCAGAGTTCTAAAAAGAAAAATGAACAAAAGAGAACAAATTTCTTAAAAATAAAAGACAAAATCCTTATAGTTATTTTTCAGATTTTTCTAAATTTTAAATTAGTAAGTGAAATATAACCAAGTAAGTGGTTTATGTCATTTATTAGGTTAGGCTACATGCTATTTAAAGGAATGAGTAGGATCAAGTCATAATTTATTAAACTTAATTTCTATAATTATACAACAGACAGCATTTTTTTTTACATTTAGACACACACAGAATATATACATGTGTATTCACGTACACATATATATGTATCTATATTCTCTGTATTTATGAAGAAAAGTAAAAAAAAAAAACCTCTGGGGTGGGTGGGTGGGTATGCGTGTGTATACACACAGCACTGTGCAAGGCACTGGAAGAGGGGAGAAAGTAATCAACAAAAGGGAGAAATTAAGGATGAAGACTGCATATAATCAGTTTTTAGGCAGAGGTAAAACAAAAAACCTCATAATGCAGTATGGTTTTGGACATGTCCTGAGTGTCATCACTGAATGACTAAGGAGCGGAGTCAGGGAAAATTGTTTCATAGAAAAAGATGACACAAGAAAAGAATGATGAAGCATTTGCCAGAAAGAACAAGAAGAGAGGGGATTCCGAGCAGTGGAGACAGAGGCAAAGAAGCCTAAAGACCGAGATCTGCTTAACAAGATGGGCAACAGTGGTGTAGCTAGAGTGCTGAAGAGAGAGTAAATAAGTATAGTACAGGAGACAGGGACCAAATAAATATATAAAGCGAAGAGAAAGTGATGGAATATCCTAGACAGAGCACATAGAACCCAGGATACACCTTTGGTAAACTTTAACGTTGGAGGGGCAGGCTTAGGAGGAGTCAGAGACTGAGAAGACTAAGAGAGGTAGAAAGAAAAAAAAGTAAGGAGCCACACTGAGCAAGTGGTCAACTGTGTAAGTGGGGTAGAGAAGTCAAGGGGCATGAGGACTGAAAAAGACTACTGGATTTGGCAAGTGGTCACTGAGATATTTCAAAGGATGATTTCAGTAGTGTGAATGGTGTTGAAGCCAATCTTAGTGGAAATAACCCATAAAAAAACCCATTGCCACGGAGTTGATTCTGACTCATAGCGACCCTATAGTGGCAATGGGCAATCTAAATAACTAGGAAATAAGAAAGTTGAGATAGGGATCATATATAATAGTCTTGGAGCAATATTCTAGTTCAGTGTGGTAATTTAAACGACTACACGATTGATATTTAACTGATTTACAAATGTCCACTGATGACAGAAATTATCATTCTAAGGCTCAACATTAGAGTTAAAATGAAAACAAACCTATAAATATTCAATTACTAGAGAACTACAGTGAGCATACAAAATTAATTTTGTGTTTTCTAACTAAGTGAAAGAGGCATTAATTCTGTGTTCTCTCCACTTGGACTAAAAATCACCATTAAAAGTTGTATGTTGTCTGGTGCCACAGAAAGAGATTCAGTGTAGTGATTACTGGATGAAAAAGGCCACTAACGGGCTTAACTCTCTTGCTTCTACAACCAACGTCAGACTTACCTCTGATAAAGTAGGAGAAACCCTGAGGACAGTAAGAATAAAAAGTGTTTAGTGATAAACTTACTCATCCTTTAATCTTGCATTAAGTTTAGGAAGACCCATGTATTCACATAGTTCCTGGAAAAATATTTTGACAAAAATTCTACTGGATGATGTAGTGGTTTCTTCACTCAGCTTTATACATTCAAGAACCTGAAAATTAAAATTTAAAAAGGCAATTTTATCTTGGTTTTCAAAAGATAGGACAAAGTGACTCATATTTATAACTTTAAGTGTCTCTTGAAATTATGATTTATTCTCATTTTCAAACAGAGTATCTCTGAGTAGCCTTCCTTGCGGTGATCTGTATTATTTCTTGGTAAAGTTTAAGACTTTTCTATACTATATTTCAAAATACCAAGATGCTACAGAGTTTATTCTCTTGCATGAGGAATTTGCTTGAATACCAGGGAGGATTTTGTATCTTGAACATATACTGAAGCACGTAATGTTAGCTCCTAAACTTCATTCATCAAAATGTGGTGGGTATGACAGTTTGGGGCAAAATGCCTCTTAGAGCAGCCTCTTAGAGTACAGCTTCATATAGCACAACTAATACACAATCTAAGGGTAAAGAAAGAAAGAGTGATGGCTTGTTCTGGATAGTAAGACTGGGGCTCAAAGTCAAGCCCATGGAGAGACGTTTAAGGGCAAATAAAAATAAAAGCAGCTTCCAGTTTTAACAACTGATTAACGAATGGGTTATATGTTCCAGGAACCCATTTGTTAGTCAATTGTTAAAACCTGAATTTCATTTTCTCCAAGAAAAAAAAAACAGAAGTCAGAAATGATTACAATTAGGCTCCTGGGTCAGCTTATAAATGTCTATTAATGTAGCTGGACACACTTAGTACTTACAGTGCTAAAAAAACTATCCAGTGTTTATAAACTCAATGACGTTGCCTTGTTCTGCCATTAGATTATGGTATTCTACAATGTGATCCTCTTCTTTCTTTCTTCCTGGGATTAATTTCTTTCTTTTTTTGAACTTCTGCAGTTTTACTTTTCTTATAATTTAACACTTTTTATTTTGTATTATTGCTATTCTTGGGTATGTCTTACATCTTCTCTTACATGGTAACCTCACTGAAAGCAGGCACCGTATTTAATTCACTTTGGATCCCCATCACTGTCTGACTGGCACATAGTTGATAGCTCCATAAACAGTTGCTAAATGAACAGCAGTTGTACAATATATGTCAGCTAAATGAATGCATTTCAAATTCCAATCCAGCGCACCTTTCCCATCAAGAATATATCTTTCTTTGCTCTATGATTATAGGAATTCTTCCCAATCACTTACTCAACTTCAGTGCTTGGTAAAAGAACACATCCTACTAGGATAATCACTTCTCTGCTATCCTAAATCAAGGAACCATGGACATTACTCTCTTAGGAAACACGAGCAGTGGCTCAAAGAAGCACGTACCACCAAAATAGTGGTGTATGTGGACACGAGTGTGAATGCATATGTCTATACATAGAGAAGATTAAAATCTGCAACATTTACCCTGAAAATGTTCCTAACCATCCCTATCAAAAAAAAGCACTGCGATGTTTGGACCGTTAATATAATCTGGGGTATTTCTTACACTCATATATATCAACTTAGCTTTCTGAGCCCATGTTATATAACCAATATGAACATAATCGCAAAGATAGCAGCTATAGTAAAAGTTGGCCACCTTTTCATTTTTTTAAAGCACATTTCCAAAATAGAAAAAGTATGGCTATATTACTTAATATTTATTTGAGAATAATAAGGGATTAGAAAAAGTATAAATATTGAACCATCTACTTACACTCCATGGAAGTGAATCAGTGTATAAAAGATGAGCAAACATCTTGGCAACATTTCTCAATTTGTTTGTTTCCAAGCGATGAATGGTATCATACTGTTCTTTGAATATACTTTCAAAGGATTCCATGTATTCTTTTTTTAGCATGCAAAAACGCTAATAAATAAAAATTGAATGTCAATAATATTATAAGCATATTAAATCCCCCTAAATTTACTGAATCAGAGTGAATAAATATTTTGTACATCTTCAAAGAACATATACCAAATCACTAAATCTTTTTGTGCAATATGATGGGATGCTCAAAAAAGAAGTTAATATGGTTCTTATTTACCTGGGACTTACATGCTAAAATAAGTTACACAAGTAACTAATCATAGATGCCTACTTGTATACTCTACAAATATACTTCTACCCAGCGGATACAGTTTGGATTTGAAAAATAATTTAGTTTATGCTCTATTTGTGCCGTCTAAAAACGTCCTGGACTTCAGAAACGGCTTTGAGGTTTTGAAAAAACAGCATTTAATTGCCTTTTATTAAGAAACTGTTACAAAGCATGCAGAATTTAAAAAGTACTGGAAGAAAGATATGCAAAGTTAAGGCACTGCAAAAAATGATTCCCAAGAGGGGGAAACCTGAAGAAGGGAAGGAACAAGTTGATTTTAGCAAAGACATGCTGTTATATTACACCAGACCACAAAGAAGAAACATTAATTCACAACATTCAGGATGAGAATTCCTTTAGTGCTTCTATTAAATTCTGATGTGAAAAACAAGGCTGGAACTCACCCCAGCTAATAAGCCAAAAAATTTCTCATATGTCCTTTGCTGGGCACAGCAATCAAGTATCATGTTGCAGAGTTCTTTCTGTTTGGACAAAAACAATTGTATTAATGATTGAAAACACAACGAATTCAAGCTGTAGAATAATTTGCCTATATGATAGAGACTGTTCAAACTTTTAAATAATGTTTTTAAAAAATATAAAACTTTAAAATTTTGTGAACTTTAGTTATTAGGACAAAATAAAAATCTTGATCTTGGTTAAGCTCAGTTTTTCAAAGCCTTCTGTCTGGCTGACAGCTCTGACATCCATTTACAATGATTAGATTGATTTTAAATTTCTAAATTTATATAATATGAACCACTTCAAAAAAACCTGGTATAAGAAACAGATAAATCAGAGAAAGATTAATATACTGTATTCTAAAAGAATTCTATGCAGAATTCTTTAAATATAGACTCACCAACACAACATTTAACAATTCACTTTAAATATTTCTCAAAGATTTAAGTTCAATTACTAAGGAATAGAGTTACTACGGAAAAAACAAAACATGAGTTTTTAAGGAGAATAAATGGGCACAATTTTAATGCTAACTTAAAAAACCCTCTGGGTGATAAAATAAAAATATATTAAAAAAAAAAATATCTCTGCAGCTAAATTTTCAAGCCTCAAAATAAATGTTATGCATATAGATCTCTGTTTGGGATACAAAGAGATGGTATAACTGCATAACTGCTGGCATAATATATTGTCCAATAAGGCTCTTTAAGTGACTTAATAATCCTTCAGTGAAAATTCTGGTGAACTAATAACTGCACTAATAAATCTCTGGTCTCGTCAGGAAATATCATCATCATAACAAATTAGAGATCTAGAATTAACCTAATATTTATTAATTCCTGAAATCTAACAAAAGATGTATTATAGCAACTTTACAGATGAAGAAACTCAGCCAATATGGACAAAACGAATAAAGGCATAAATTCATTCTCTGATCACTGCTATAGAATTGACTAAGTATCTTTTTCTACAACATAATCTTTATCAGTAAAAATTATTTTTTTAAAGATAGTAACTGCAAATATATGCTTTCTATAAATTTTAAATACTAAAAAAAATTAAGTCATCTCTATGTAAATTATCTGTGTGGGAGAGTCCAGGAGAAATCTCAGGGTATGGCAGAAGGGGACACTTGAAAAGCACACGACACTCTAGAACCGTGCTCTTCAATATGGTAGCCAATAGCTGTGTATCATTATTTAAATTACTTACAATTATATAAAATTTAAAATTTTAGTTCCTCCGTCATACCACATTACAGTTGATCAACAGCCGCCACATGGAGATAGTGGCTACTGTACTACACATTGCAGAATATGAACTTTTCCACCATTCCAAGAAGTTTAAAAGTTCTAGAAACTGGTAATCTACTTATAAAACAATCTACTCAAAATCCTACCTTGACAACAGGGTTATTTTTAGATGCTATTATTGGCAGATTTATTTTTTTAATATTAGTCAAAAAGCTACCTTACTCAAAGTATATATAAATGTATAAGTTCTAAAAAGATATCTTTTGCCAAAATTTAAGTAATATAGGACAGAAAACTTGAAACTTTTCTGAACTCTGCCATATTATGTTAACTTGATATATTAAAATGCATTTTAACTTTTTCGACTCTGTGTTTAAAATAATATAGCAGTTAATCAGGTTTTAAACAATAAAACATGGTATAATATGCTGACAACACTGCGAATAAAGTCAACCTTACATGCAAAACAAATTACTTTCTTTCCAAGACTAAATGCAATTACAAGAGTTATTCCCTGTGGTGTACAATAATTAAATATTTTAACATTTTAATTAAATATTACATGATTTTAGGAGAGCCTTTTGAGTAACCATATGCACAAACATAGATACACCAAGATAGTCTTCCAAATGTTATCAAAATATGTTGAGGTTAGTTCTAGAACAGCTATCTTGTGGATTAATATTAATATTTATAATGACTTAATTATACTCCTCAAATAATGTGACAAGATCATACAGTAGGTTCAGTTTCAATTACAATTTTAAAGGTTAATGTACTAATTTATTTTCTTCCAACAAAAACCCATCAAGTGAAGTTTGAGTACAAATAAAAACCAAAACCAAACCTGTTGTCACTGAGTTGATTCTGACTAACAGTGACCCTACAGGAGAGAGTAGAACTGCCCCACCCATAGGGTTTTGTAGTAAGTTTTGTAAATTTTTTTTTCATCATCTCAAACAGAAACTTTATACCTATTAAACAGTAACTTCCCTTTTCCCTTTCTCCCCTCCCCCTAGACCCTGGTAATCTCTAATCTACTTTCTGTCTCTACAAATTTATCTACCATATATGTGGAATCATATAATATCTGATGTTTAGCAAACAGGTAGTCTAATATTAGTACACCAATAAATAAACTTCAAAAGGGAAAATCTTAAATTTAAAAAAATAAAAAAAATTTTTTTCTCAAAATTCCATACCATGACATTTCAAGAATAAATCCATATTCTAGAACAAAATTCAGGAATTTTTTTTCTGTAAAGGCCAGATAGTAAGTATTTTAGGCTTTAAAGATCCTGTGATCTCTGTTATAACTAAACTACTCAACTCTGTTGCAGTAATGTGAAAGCAGCCATAGACAATACATAAACAAATAAGCATAGACATGTTCCAATAAAACTTTATTTACAAAAACAGGAGGTGGACCCAGGCCACAGCTTGCTGGCCACTGTATCAGACCATGTTTAAAGTCTTAAAACAAATGACTCACACCTAACAGCAACTTTATTCACATAGCCAATAAGATCCTTATAGAAGAATTAGAAACAAAACAACCTACGGGAGCTGATTCACACAATTCAACATTTGTGCTATGTCTACCACATAAAACGCAATATTAAAAGAAAAGCCTTGAGGACTTTGTTCAGGTTCCAAAGACCTAAAATCTAGGCAGGGAGCAGTATACATAAGATAACAACTAGAAAAAATGATAATCTATTTAATCTGGTCTGTATTTTCCTTGCCGTTAGGGTTCTATAATACTTTGAATAGTACAGTATACTGAGTTATAAGACTGAACCCTACAGGGCTAAGGGTAACCATGTATACTTTATGGATCACTGACTATCCGACACCTCACAGAATGCCTGACATGTAGAATATGTTGAACACATTTTTGTTGAATAAATGAATGAGACAAATAATACAGATTCTTCTATATCCAATTAGAGTAATAAAATACTATGTGTTGTGATCTTCATAATTTCTTCCATAAAAGAATGCTTTTGTGCATAACAAAAATGGACCAGGTAATTCATCAAAGAGCAAATTTATTCTATTTAAGCCACAGTTCAATTTACAGGCAACCTCTCAGAAATTCTATGTAAAGGGTAGCAGTTCGAAGAATGCCCCTCCTTTTCCCATGTCCTGTCTGAGCAGCCAGGTTAATTCACTGCAGCAAGTAGCATATGAAACACTACAGGACTTCTAAGTTTTGAGTTATTTAAAATTTTTTTAAAAATCTGTATTTTTAAAGCGTACACTGGATATATTTAGCACTGAGCTATTGTTCCAATTCACTCACTATACCTAATTTTTAATTGTCTTAAGCGTTTTTATGACAAATACATATAGTCTAATTAAAAAGTATTAACGTACTGTTTGACTCTCAGGAAACTCCATTTTCAACAGTTTGTGAGCACATTCTTCAAAATCTAAACTGTGGAGATAAAACGGCCAAAACAGTTAGGATAAAAGCTTGCTGCATAAACCGTAGCACTCTTTTAGACAGAAAAATCTTACTTTAATAATTCTTCTGAATAATCTTTTTTAGTATAATTTCATATTATTGTATACTGTATATAAAGAAAAACATAGTTCTTAATTCTATAAGAATACAGGTAATAAAAATATAACAAAGTTTGTTGAAATAAATTAGAATAGCATAGAAACTTCTTTAACCTCCCCTGAAGCGACCTGGCAAATTCACTTGCGTCAAGTGATGTGCACGGGATCCTGAACGCTCCTGGCTGGTTGCCTACTTTCTACTAATATACTGCACTTCTCCCTGCAACTGAACTGCATGTTTATCAAGAGGTAATAGTGTGTGTTCCCAAATGTGCATGTGCTGGTTGCTTTTATTACAATTGAATATTTTAACTAAATGTGAACCCAGAAAAAAAGTACTATTACAAGACTGGAAAAAAAAAAAAAGCATAAAAATGTGAAAAGATTCTGAACCCAGATTACTTTGCAAGTGTCCTTATGATCTAATTTTACTTTAAAGAAACTGATTGTGCAAATCATAGACTAGTGGGTATGGTTTATTAAAAAAAAGATGACATGAAACTTCTGACTAACAATTAACTAACACTCAAAGAAAGGGCCTGGACTCTATCAAAAGACTGGTGAATGAATGTGTATTATGTGAAAAACTGGATCCCTACCTCACATCATATATAAAAATCAACTCAAAATGGATCAAAGACCTCAGTGTAAGAGAGAAAGTTATAAAATTCTTAGAAGAAAACATAGACATGATTGTGAAGTTAGATTAGGCAATGGTTTCTTAAGTAGAACACCAAAAGCATAAGCAGCAACAACAAAAGCAAAACAGATGTGCTTCAAAGGAAAAAGAAAGTAAAAAATAACACAGAGAATGGGAGACAATGTTTACAAATCACGTATCTGATAAAGGACTAGTATCTAGAATACACTAAAAAAAAAAAAAAACTCTTACTTATAACTTAATAAATAGACAATTTAAAATTGGGCAAAAGATTTGGACAGAATTTCTCCAAACAAGATAAACAAATGGCCCCAAAGCACATGCAGTGATGTGTAATACCATTTGTCATCAGGGAAATGCAAACTGAAACCACAGTGAGATACCACCTTATACCCACTAGCATGGCTGCAACTGAATCAACAACTCTTGGTGAGAATGTGGAGAAACTGGAACCCTCTTATGTTTCTGGTGGATAAAGTAAAATGGTGTAGTGACTTTAGAAAACAATTTGGCAGTTCCTCAAAGAGTTAAATGTAGAGTTACTATGCGGTTCAGCAATTCCAATCCCAGGTATATAACCAAGAGAAGTGAAAACATACGTCCACACAAAAACTTGTACAAAAATATTCATAGCAACATTATTCATAATAGTCAAAAAGTGGAACCAACCCAAATGGCCATCAACTGATGAATGGATAAATAAAATGCGGTATGTACATACAATGGGATATTATTCAACTACAGAAACGAATGGAGCATTGATATATGCTACAACATGGCTAAGAAGCCAAACAGAAAAGGCCACATATAGTATGATTCCATTTATATAAAATGTCTAGATAGGCAAATCCAAAGACAGACAGTAAATTAGGGGAAATGGAGAATGACTGCTAATGAGCACAAGGTTTTGAACTCTGGGAAACCAATTATGTCCCACGGCACAAATTTCAAGGAGTGCTATCTAATGTTCAAGGTTTTTGCCAAGAGCCAGCTGTCCTGTTCTACAGCCATTAAGAATCTCACCAAATCAAGTGCTGATATTTGTTAAATAAATCTAAGGAAGAAGAAAACAAAAACAAAAAACAGTAACTACATTCAAAACTTAGATAAAACAACAGATAGGATGCTCAACAATGAAGACTAACAGAAATAAAAGCTTTAAAAATGTTAACTTTTTTTGTAAATATTTATATCCAGCTAAAATTCTGAAGAAATGTATTTTTTATTCATCAGTCACAAATGCACATCTAACGCAGTAACAATTACTGGAGGTAAAACACCTGTAGGATATCATCCTGATCTAAGTTTTATACATAATTAGGATTTCAGAAGTATTTACAGATAATATGATCCAACCCTCTCATTTTTATTGATGAGAAAACGAGACTCAGAGGCATTTGTATGACTTGCTCCAGGCCACACAGGATATACTTAATACTTCCTCATCCAACATTTCATAAGAAAAGGCTATAACCAACATTTAATTTGAACAGTGATTTCTTGAAATGTACATTATGTGTTGAGAAAAACTAGGAAAAGTCCTAATTAAAATTAAAATCAAAATAGGAGCAAACATAGGTCAAGTTTCTCAGGCTTATGTTAAAATCTCAGCTTGGAAGATTTACTTACATATTCTACCATACAGTAAGTCCTACTTTTAACTGATATTGAAAACGATTTAAAATTTTACTAAACTGTTAAGTATTTCCACTTCCCCTGATACAAGTGAAAGATGCTACAGGAGCCCAGCAAGACACCTCGTGCTCAATCATCATTTTTACAAGTTACCTTGGCTCATACCTAACCACAGGACTTCTACATTTTCTAAGAATGCAGTGTAACAATATTAAAATGACCAACATTAATTTGCAAGAAAAAATAAATTGCTTTTCACAATGTTCATATGAATTAAATTAAAACTATCTTCAATATACTTCACCTAAGAGAATTAGCAAACTCAATGTGAACTTGATTTGGGAAAAATGCTAATAATTTGTACCTTTTGTACAATATTCAAACTTCCATTCTTTTAATAACAGCAGTATAAAATCCTCACTTACTGAAATACTAATGACCATGAATTTAGTTTTATAGCTCATCTGTTTTCTTCAGCTCCTATTACTTACTGAGTTTCACAAGCACACCAGGGTATTAATTCAGGATGGTACAGTGCAATGGAACAAAAAAACTAAAATTAAAAATAGAAATCTGCCAGGAATGAGCTTTTATAACAGGTAACATTAAATAATATCTAGCCCTAAGATTAAATTATTAAAGTATAGTTAACAAACTTCAATAATTTAGCAATACCAAAAAGAGTATTAAGTACTAAGGAGCCCTGGTGTTACGATGGTTAAGTGCTCAGCTGCTAACCAAAAGTTTGGCAGTTAGAACCCACCCAGTGCTCTGAGGAGAAAAGACCTTGCAATCTGCCCTCATAAAGATTACAGTTTAGGAAAACCTATTGGGCAGTTCTACCTGACCATATAGGATCACTATGAGTAGGAATTGACTTGATGGCACACAACAACGCCACCACCAAAAAGGGTAAAGGAAGACTTTACTTTTTCTTTTCTCTCTTTTCAAAACAGAATTAATTAGTCAGGAAAAACCCCGAAATTTCTGAAAAATCAGTCAGGTAACTGCTGAAGAAATTTGTCAAGTTTTATGGTTTTCCTCTTTATCTAATAAGTGAAGTGTCATGGAAGTTAGCTGTATGACAATCTATTTCCTTGTTCCTGTTATATTTTAAAAGTATTTGGGGATTCCCTACACCAAGATCATTTCAAAGTTTCAGTAATTGCAAATATTAAGTGAATTAAATTTACCTGGTATTTCAATTCTTATCTTAAGGTGTTAAACCAAAATGAATTCTAGGTTTAACACAAATGGTGGCTGAGGGAAGGTAAAGAAAAAAGAACACATTTACTAAATTACCGTCTTCTCTACTTGACGCCGGTTTTCAAGCTGTGGTGACAAATGGTTCCTTCGAAATCTCCAATCTCAAAAACTTTAAATTGGTGGGAGCATGGTAGTCCCACCTCCCTCTGATGCTATAGCTTCAATAATGTAAATTAAGATGGAAACATCATTTAAAAGAATAGGAATGCACTGTTTTCAATAACAAAGCCAATTCTGTAGTTTTATATTGTGAAAATAAAAAAGGGTCATTAAAGGAGTCTTAACAGTAAGAAGACATCAGTCAACAAGACAGAAAGAAATTAAAAAAAAAATAGTTCAACTGCCAGAATTAATTTTGCTCTCAAAATTTCTAAAAATGAACTTATATAAAATCATTTCATAGTCATCTGACTTGAGGATTAGGTTGCATTCTTGATTTCTAGCCTCGTTAACCTAAAACAAGGAGCCCTGGAAGTGCACTGGTTAAGCATTTGGCTGCTAACCAAAAGGTTGGTGGTTTGAACCCACCAGCCACTCTGCATCAGAAAGATGTGGCAGTCAGCTTCTGTAAAGATTACCCATACCCACTGCTGGGGAGTTGATTCCAACTCATAGCGACCGCATAGGACAGAGCAGAACTGCCCCATATGGTTTCCAAGGAGCACCTGGTGGATTTGAACTGGTGGCTTTTTGGTTAGCAGCTGTAGTTTTTAACCACTATGCCACAAGGGTTTCCTCAGTAAAGATTATAGCTTGGAAACTCTACGGGGCATTTCTACTCTTCCCTATAGGGTCACTATGAGTTGGAACTGATTTGACGGCAGTGAGTTTGGATTTTTGGTTTATACTATAAACAGAAGACTTTTGAAAAAATAAGAAAAGGCATTAAAAAATCTACAATCTATGTTTCCTCAAGACAACCGTGTTGGTATTTTATTCTTTCTGGAATTCATTTACCTATTTATACAATAAGAAGCCCTGGTGGCACAGTGGTTAAGCACTGAGCTGCTAACTAAAAGGTCGGGGGTTCGAACCCACCAGCAGCTCCACAGGAGAAAGATGTAGCAGTCTGCTTCCGTAAAGATTTACAGCCTTGGAAACCCTATGGAGCAGTTCTACTCTATCTTAAAGGGCTGCTATGAGTCAGAATCAACTTGATGGCAATAGGTTTATTTTTGGTTTTATTTATACAATTAAGATAATACTATAGGCACAGTTCTATATGGTAGTTTTTCCCCACCTAACATTTTATCAGACCACTTGCTCAAATCAGTAACAACCTCCATTAATCTCATTTTCAGTGGTGGCATAAATTGGATATTTCAACTGATTATGTGTGACAGTAAGATTTTCTCAATTTTTTTTCAGTGACAATTCTGCATATAATTCTCAGTCAACAGTTATTTCTTTAGTAAATACAATAATGGAGAAAAAAAGAGTCAAATGGCATGAATATGTAAGGCCCTTGATTCAGGTTACAAAACTGCTTTCCATAAAGAGTCTACCAATTTAAATTTCCACCAATAATTATTGAGGCATATCTCACAGCCTCATCATTATTATTGAGTACTGTTGCTTTAAAAACCAAAACAAAGTAAACCACTTTGGCAAATTTAACAACCAAATAATGGAACTTCTTTGTCTACAGTAATATTGTTTGATAACTAACATTTTTCATTAAGTTTTATAATCCTATTATATGAATCTTCCATTCATATCCTTTAAACATCTTTCCACTAAGGTCTTTGTTTTTTTTCTATAAACTTGTATGATCTTTTAAGCATAGTAATCCTTTATCATATGTAAAACTGTTTTTTTAACAAATATCAACACATAACGTAGTCGGTTATTACCAGGATTGGTATCATTATATCATAGCAGCAGTCACTTATCTCTTAAGACTTTAATTTTTCATGTTTTTTGTTTGAGTCACAAATTGTCAAGACTCATTTAATTCTTTAAAAAAAAGTTTTCTCTAGCACAACTGGTACAAGGAAAGGTCATGGAAGCCCCATAGACACATCCAAACTCCCTGAGGGACTGAACTGCTGGGCAGAGGGCTGTGGGGACCATGGTCTC